TTTGGTATGAACTAAGCTAAACCAATACATGTTTCCAATAAGTAAAAAAAAAAAGAAGTTGTGGTTTTTAGGCGAATGAAATAAAAGCAAGGAAAGGTTACAAGCTGTGAGACACTCCGCCAGGGGAAGATGCCATTAGGACAAAATACCTTATACTTAAAGTCCAGAGTGAAGGAGGATTTATGGACAATGTGAACAATTATTATGGGAAGAGAGTTTGGGATTATCTAAGACGGAGTTAAGAGGAAAGGGAGAACTAAAGAGAATAACTTCATCAGGTATAAGAGGCCGCTGTGGTCGTGTTGGTATTGTCAGCCCAGAAAAGAGACGGGTGGGTAATATAACTCGAAGACCCTAAGAGACACTTTTGGCCAAGAAACCGAATGATGTATTAGAGGAAGATGAAGAGAGGCGTTCAATCTTACTTCAGCAGCACGAGCGTCTTCTTTATGATAAACAGGTGTGTGGTAATCCTGGGCCAAGATGACAGCAGGAGTGAGAGTCGAAATGAACCCGAGTGAGTTTTACAAGTACCGACAATTAAGACCTTCTGTGGACGGCCTGAGAATGGGAGCGATCGATCAGTGGGTCAGCTATAGAGATGATATTAGTGGGTGGGTGGGTAGGTGGGTGGGTGGTGGGTGGTGGGATGGGTGGTGGGTAGGTGGGTGGGTGGGTGGGTGGGTGGGTGGGTGGGTGGGTGGGTGGGTGGGTGGATAGGGTGGTGGTGGTGGGTGGTTGGGTGTACTTCTCTATCCTCTGATGTAAATACTTCTGGAATGAACTGACCAGTGACGGAATTACCAGCCGAGGAGAAACAGTAATCACATAAGAGAAAGTTAACACAGAACTCTCACAAGTTTGTTCAATCAGCACTTTCACGGTGTCATAGTAGACGTTTAGAGGGACAGCGGGAGGAGGAGGAGGAAGAGCGGGAGGAGGAGGAGGAAGGGGAGAAGAAGGGGAAGTATGAGGAAGAAGATGAGGAGTATGAGGAAGAAAAAGAAGAGGAGGAGGAGGAAAAAGAAGAGTGGGAGGAGGAGGAGGAGGAGGAAGAAGAGTGGGAGGAGGAAGAAGAAAAGTAGAATGAAGAAGAGGAGTATGAGGAAGAGAAAGAAGAAGAGGAGGAGGAGGAGGAGGAAGAAGAGGTAATAAAAGGACATATGAACTAGTTGGGGTGAAATGTTGTAATTATAACGTGGAGACAGAGAGAAGAGGTGAAAATTATGTCTGGTTGTGACGGTGTGAAACAGGTGGGAGATGGATGATAATTTGCTCTAGATTACTATGAAGAGAAAATGTGAGGACTTGAATCTCTCAGTGTTTGTATCTGGTGTGCCAAGATAATCAACCACTGAAATCTTATGTGAATAGAAGACCTCGGTTTTGTGTATGGGAGAACGTCAAGTTGTGATATGAAGTTGATTGAATTAAACAAATCCTCAGAGAAACAGAGGAAAATTGCATTAGCTTATAGGCAAATTTTCCAACTTTCATCGTGTCAAATTTAGGAGAAATAAAAGGCGGGTAATAGTTTGTGTTGATGTTAAGACAACCACGAAGCACTGAGGCGGACACATGGATGGTGTTTATAGTTAGAGAGATATTAAACCAAGTTAGAGAGATGTTAAACCAAGTTAGAGAGATATTAAAGCAGTTAGTGGGAGACAACATTAGACGGATGAGTCACTGAGAGAAAGAGGATGACAGGTGTACAACAGAGACGAGTGTGAGTGATGAATCATGAGTCACTGAGAGAAAGAGGATGACAGGTGTACAACAGAGACGAGTGTGAGTGATGAATCATGAGTCACTGAGAGAAAGAGGATGACAGGTGTACAACAGAGACGAGTGTGAGTGATGAATCATGAGTCACTGAGAGAAAGAGGATGACAGGTGTACAACAGAGACGAGTGTGAGTGATGAATCATGAGTCACTGAGAGAAAGAGGATGACAGGTGTACAACAGAGACGAGTGTGAGTGATGAATCATGAGTCACTGAGAGAAAGAGGATGACAGGTGTACAACAAAGACGAGTGTGAGTGATGAATCATGAGTCACTGAGAGAAGAGGATGACAGGTGTACAACAGAGACGAGTGTGTGGTGATGAATCATGAGTCACTGAGAGGAAGAGAGGATGACAGAGTGTACAACAGAGACGAGTGTGAGTGATGAATCATGAGTCACTGAGAGAAAGAGGATGACAGGTGTACAACAGAGACGAGTGTGAGTATGAATCATGAGTCACTGAGAGGAAGAGGATGACAGGTGTACAACAGTGTGAGTGATGAATCATGAGTCACTGAGAGAAAGAGGATGACAGGTGTACAACAGAGACGAGTGTGAGTGATGAATCATGAGTCACTGAGAGGAAGAGGATGACAGGTGTACAACAGAGACGAGGAGTGATGAATCATGAGTCACTGAGAGGAAGAGGATCACAGGTGTACAACAGAGACAGTAGAGATGAATCATGAGTCACTGAGAGGAAGAGGATGACAGGTGTACAACAGACGAGGTGAGTGATGAATCATGAGTCACTAGAGAAAGAGGATGACAGTAACAGAGACGAGGAGTGATGAATCATGAGTCACTGAGAGAAAGAGGATGACAGGTGTACAACAGAGGAGGTGGGAGGATGAATCATGAGTCACTGAGAGAAAGAGGATGACAGGTACAAACAGAGACGAGTGTGAGTGATGAATCATGAGTCACTGAGAGGAAAGAGGATGACAGGTGTACAAATAGAGACAGAGGATGAATCAGAGTCACTGAGAGGAAGAGGATGACAGGTACAAACAGAGATGAGTGTGAGTGATGAATCGTGTTATTTTTCTACTTCCTTTTCTGTTGCTGTTTGTTTATTCCCCAGGTTGTTTATCTCCTGTTTTATTACAGTTAGTACGACTTAATCTCTTTACCCAGCTGTTCCTTCCTTATTGTCTTGTTGTATGTTTCTTTACCTCTCCTGGTATTAGTACTATCCCCCCCACCTCACCACAGCCCCCTCATCCCACACCCCCGCCTCACACCTCACAGCCCCTTCATCCCACACCCCGCCTCACCCCACAGCCCCTCTTCATCCCACACCCCCACCACCACAGCCCCTTCATCCCACACCCCCGCCTCACCACAGCCCCTCATCCCACACCTGCCTCACCACAGCCCCCTTCATCCCACACCCCGCCTCACCACACCCCTTCATCCCACACCTGCCTCACCTCACACCCCCTCATCCCACACCCCACCTCACCACAGCCCCCTTCATCCACCACCCCTGCCTCACTTCACAGCCTCAATCCCACACCCTGGCCTCACCTCACAGCCCCCCTTCATCCCACACCCCCTGCCTCACCACAGCCCCCTTCATCCCACACCCCCCGCCTCACTCACAGCCCCCTTCATCCCACACCGCCTCACCTCACAGCCCCTTCATCCCCACACCCCTGCCTCCCCTCTTAACCCGACACCTTCCTTCCCTCTCCACACATCTCTCAACCCCCCCTCAGCCCACATCCCCCTCCCTCCCCCGTCCGTCACCCAAGAAGGTGAATGTAAAAGAGAGAGAGAGAGAGAGAGAGAGAGAGAGAGAGAGAGAGAGAGAGAGAGAGAGAGAGAGAGCCACTGTACATCACAAGTGCTAGTGTGTCACCCCTGCTTCTGTCTGTAACCTGATAAAGCTTTAACACCACCCCAGGACGTGTTGGTGGAGGTGGAGGAGATGCAGGAAGGAGGAAGGGACAGTGTTGGTGGAGGAGGAGGAGGAGGTGCAGGAAGGAGGAAGGGACAGTGTTGGTGGAGGAGGAGGGAGGTGCAGGAAAGAGAAGGGACAGTGCTGGAGGAGGAGGAGGGTGCAGGAAGAGGAAGGACAGTGTTGGTGGAGGAGGAGGAGATGCAGGAAGGAGGAAGGGACAGTGTTGGTGGAGGAGGAGGAGGTGCAGGAAGGAGGAAGGGACAGTGTTGGTGGAGGAGGAGGAGGGCTGAAGGAGGAAGGGACAGGTTGGTGGAGGAGGAGGAGGTGCAGGAAGGAGGAAGGGACAGCAGGGAGGAGGAGGTGCAGGAAGGAGGAAGGGACAGTGTTGGTGGAGGAGGAGGAGGTGCAGGAAGGAGGAAGGGACAGTGTTGGTGGAGGAGGAGGAGGGCAGGAAGGGATGAAGGAAGGGAGGTTGAGGGGCGTTGGAGGAGAAGGAAGAAAGCGTGAGGATAAGTAGTGGAGGAGGGGGAGGAAGGGTATAAAGGGTAAGGAGGAGGAGGAAGAAGGACTGAATTATGGATAAGATTTGAAAGAGACGTGACCAGTGAGGTGTCTAGATTACTTCTGCACATACAATAACTGGCGTGGCTCAACGTTATCAAATATATTTTTCATCAGGAATATTTGTGTGTGCATGTGTTTGTGTGTGTCTACTTGGCGCTGATGTACACGTAGCTGTGGAAAACATATTAAATATTAACCAGTTCATCGATTCTCTAATGTCTTAGTAATCTTTGTGAGGTTTTAATGTTAAACACACAAAAGAAGGAATAATTGGTCGACCTCGTTACGTTTCTCCCAAAATCTTTTGTTTGTTGACGTGATGTACTTGAGCCAGCCAGTGTCAACACAACCCCGCTGCCAGGAGTACGACGATGGCAACAGTGTCTTGACTAGTGTTAGTAACATCTCAGCCTAAAACATTATTTTCTCTGGCAGTTTATTGTTTATTTTAATAATAATAATAATAATAATAATAATAATAACAGAAACATAGATACAACACACCGGGTGATATTATACTGTACACGCTTTTCCCTAATGCAGGGTGTACAGGGTATGTTCACCCTGTTCTGTCCACAATATATTTTTTAGGTTATTAAGTTTTAGAATGGGTCAGCTATTTTATGGACACCATATAATACAAAAAGTAAGTCTAAATAATAATGATAATGTTATAGTACAATAGGTGGTGTAGTGAAGTACTGTACACTCCAATAATAGCTGCCCCCCTCTCCCTACAGGGTCACAGAAGGCAGAGATACACAGCGGCCAGCCTGGTGTGTTCTTGTCTAACACTTTACTGGCGTCTACTGTGGTGTTGACGTCCTTACTATTGACCTCTAGTGTCTTGCTGACGTCCATAGCCTTGCTGACTTCTCCTGCCGAGGCCCTGCTGACAGTGCTCCTGCTGTAGCAACTCTTCATCTCCTGGTCAGCGAGTAGCGTGTGTGAAGCAGCCTGCTGACATTCCCTGACACTCTACTGACAGCCACCTGGAACACTGCTGATGAATACCCTCCTGCTGTAGCATGTTATCGTGATCACCTACCTGCTGGAGGACTCAGTAGGTCAGGGTGGTGGTCCAACACTGGCCTCACAACACCACAACTCAGCGTGGCCGGGCTCAGATTCTCGGAGGTTCCTACGTTAAATTTTCTCCCAGGTTAGAGATATGAGAACTCACCTTAAGGTCTCCTTTAAACTACGGCACAAATATTACAGTTAAGATGTCGTCAAAATAGCTCTGAGGTTGTGTGTCTCACTCGGTTAGGGAGAAAATTTATATGTGAATTTGTATAATCTTGGCCTTGTCTTGTAGCTGTATAGGTATGTGTAACCATGCTTTTGATATGTCTTTATATATATATATATATATATATATATATATATATATATATATATATATATATATATATATATATATATATATATATAAAGTATATCCAGCCTTATTTATTCAATGCTGAAAGGGTAGGTGGACTAGTCTGAGTTGTCGAGTAACCAGTTAACCGAGGCCAACATAACATGAATATTATTGTATATATATATATATATATATATATATATATTCTTTTTGCGAGCTTATAATAAGTAACATTAATTTTTCCTCATTGCTGTCGTAAGTAGTGTCTCCTCCAGCCAGCAGATGGCGGCACTGACCTACACGACAACATGTGTTAACAGAGTGACGCACCGTGACATAGGGCAGGGGGAAAAGGAGGTAATATAAGAGTGAACGGGAGTAGTCATATAAAACCTACCCTTTTCTCTCTGTCTCGGAAACCATAGAAAGAGAAAGGCGTATTGATTCAATGCCTTAAAAACAATTGTTGTAAAAACAGTTTATAAAAATATCACAAGACAACTAGGCGGTCTTACATTCATAGATAAGGAAAACGAAAAATTCGCCAAATCTAGCGAATATCAGTCTCTTCAACAACGTTTGATGTTGATTTAAGTGAACTTGCGGGATATTTAAGATAACACTACAGAATATATGAAACTCATGTATTGAGTTGAGTGAATTTTAGCGATTCATGTATTGATATTAGTGAAATTTATCTTGTCTGGGATGATTTTAGTAAAGTTAGTGACCTGCAGCAGTAAAGTAAGCGACTTTTGCTCTGGTATACATAAACACTACCAACCATTTCTGAGTTGTGGCGGGGAATAACCACACACACACACACACACTCACACACACACACACACACACACACACACATCGTTGGGTGGGCCTCAGTAACTGCTGATAATGGTGAAAGGTAGAAAGTGATAACGAAGAGTAATAGACGATAACAAGATGAGTAGTGTGATAACGGGGAGGAGAGGAGGGAGTGAGAGTGTGCATTGGTGTAAATAAAGAGAGAAAGGGGGAGAGAAAACGTAGTAAATAAAGAAAAGAGGAAAGAGAACGTAATAAATAAAGATAAAAAATAATTACAAAGATAAAAGAAAACGAGAGAGAATGCAAACGAAAAAGAATATTAAGAAAAATACAGCACCAGAGAGAGCGAGAGAGGGAGAGAAAGAGCAGGAGAAAGAAACAAAATAAAGACAAGGCAGAGAGAAGATAAAAACAACATGAAAGCATAAATACTAAAAATAATACAATGGTAAAAATGGCTTAAGAAGGATTAAAGTATTCAGGGAATTTTTACGAGGCGAAAAATACTCGACTTGAGGCTAAAATCTTGTTTGGTTTCGTAATTGAAGGGATGATCTTTTTAAGGCAACTCAGCGTCGTGGATTTTTATTTATTTATTTTGGGGATAAATTAAAAAAAAATTGGGATAAATTTCAGAATTCTTAAGGATATATAAATCAATTTGTTAGGGATTTATTGCGATTTTTAGGGATAAATGTCGCTTTTTAGGGATAAATCGAGAAAATTATGGATGAAATTTGTCATTATAGGGATGAATTGGATTTTAAGTGTCGAAGTGAAGGTTTAGGTATGTAAGCATTTTTTTGGGGAGGGGGTCTTACTTAACAAAATCTGTTGTGATAAAAAAAATCCTGTTTTATGGTCAAAAATTCTAGATGTGATTAAATTTTTCTGAATTATTTTCAAATTTTAGGTCTGAGATAAATAGGTAACCCAAGTCTCTCTCTCTCTCTCTCTCTCTCGCTCTCTCTCTCTCTCTCTCTCTCTCTCTCTCTCTCTCTCTCTCTCTCTCGACCAACGATAACTTTTACATTTTTATTTTAATATGAGAAGAAAATAATAACACGAATCACTAAATGCTTCTGTACCAATTATTCCATATAACAACCAGCCTAGCAATAAATTAATATAAACTACTAAAAAAATAAACATTCCTTAGATGTAAGTAATAATGTGTACCAGTAGGTGAGTAAAATGTATATGATATGTATTGATATATTTTGTAATACATTCGTTTCTCCTCCCGTATGAGAGCTGTAGTGTCTAGCGAGTATGTATGGCGTTGTCTGTATGTTATGTATATTATGATGTAGGATTACCCATCGGTGTAATGTAAAAAAATAAAATAAAAAATTAAGTAATGTTAGATTTTAGAGTAATGTTGGTAGTATTAATAAAATAAAGGTAACTATATTGAGTATTTTTATTGTGCCTCCGTTTTCTATGGTTCTAAGCGTAGATTTTTTTTCTGAGGGGATACTTCACTAATCATGTCTTATGGTTGAACATATTACTAATTACTGACGTTCTCTCTCTCTCTCTCTCAGGTCACAGGTCACGACGCGGTCTAAACTACTTGTGTGTACTGTACGTGTGTGCATTTACTGTAGAAATACATTTATTGATTCGTACACGCATTGGTAAGTAATTGTTTTTACAAATGTACACATTTGTAGAAAAAAAAAAAACACACACACACACACACACACACACATTACTCAGCTGGTGGAGGAGTAACTCTTATCTTAACATCCCACAAGTCAAATTGCCTCAGAAGCAGCACTACCAGGCATACCTCCCTCCTTCTGTCGCCCTTCCCTCCTTCCTCCTTCTGTGGCCCTTTCCTCCTTTCCTTCTTCTGTGGCCCTCCCCTCACTCCTTCCCACTGTGGCCCTCCTTCACTCCCTCCTGTCCCCCTCCCTCCTTCCCTGTGGCCCTCCCTCCTCCCCCTGTGGCCCTCCTCCTCCTCACTGTGACGCTCCCTCACTCTCCCCTGTGGCCTTCCCTCCTCTCCTGTGTCCCTCCTTCACTCCCCACTGTGTCCCTCCTCACCTCCCCACTGTGCCCCTCCCTCCTCCTTCCCACTGTGGCCCTCCCTCACTCCTCACTGTGGCCCTCACTCCCCACTGTGGCCCTCCCTCACTCCCCACGGTGGCCCTCCCCCAATCCCTCCTCTCTGTCTCTCTCTCCTTCCCAGTGTTTTCTATCTATCCTTATCTCTCTCTCTCTCTCCTTCCGTCCGTCCGTCCTTCCGTTCCCCACACCCTCGCTTCGTCCTTCCCCCCTCCTCCCTGTTATAAAATACGAGGTAGTAGGTGTGCATGTATATATATACAGGAATAAATCGTGGTAGGAGGCAACACAATGGTCGGTATTAATAAAAGAGGGAGTGTGTGTGTGTGTGAGTCATGGCCGCCATTACCTCACAAACCAGGTACGAATTCGTGTAGAAAATTGGTTATTTCTTTACTTTCTTAAAAATTGTTTACAGGAGTAATTAGCGGCCAGGTAATTGGATATATTTAGAGTTTAATTAGCGACAACGTTCGTCAGGGGAAACCGGGTCAATTACGCTCGGCTGGAGGAGAAAGAAAATACCCGTTGTTGTTGTGTTTGGTTGACAACGTTTTCCTGTCCAATAAGACGTAAGACGATGAGGTAGGGTGGAACGTCAGGCGCTGTTAATTGCTCCTGCTGGCGTTGTTATTATGATACTGACCCATGTTGAACTAGATGGATGGCTTGACGACCGCCAGCCCGGGCACTAGTGAGTGAAGATTGGCGCTAAACTACTGCCGTGTGAGTAACTGTCAGAGTTAAAGACCAAATTTTGAACGACAGGAAACACTGAAGGGGCTGGAGGGTCACACAGGGTCGCCTCCTCGTCCTACACCAAACACAGGACGGACAGCACGTCGACCCGTCCACACTGAAATATTCACACGTTTATTTTTTTTTATCTCCATAACTGTGGGTGAGATAACACGGTCACGTGACGATAAAGTTTTCTCACTGTAATTTGGGCGGTGGAATGGCCGCCATCTTCATGTCAAAACGTAAAGGAAAAATCTAGACCCATTTTTATCCTAGTTTTATTTTGGGTATAATTTGTAAAGTAGATCAAACAGTGAAAAAGAGACGTTCCGTTGTATAATTTTAGCGTGGATCCAGTTTAAAGTAAAAGTCAGCAAAAATTATGTAATTTTGCCGCAGTCGTGATGTCACCTTAATAAACAACAACAAGAGGTACACGACACAAGGGCTGGTACACGCTCAGGCGGACCATCCAACGAACATTTGTCAAAAGTTTCAGTAAAACTGAGTTTGTAGTTTTTGAGAAGTGGAAAATTTGAGAAGTTTACAGACAGACTGACGGACGGACGCATGACCAGAGCAACTGTCCAGATAAACTAATACAGCAGAGAGTGAAGTAACAAGTGACTGTCTTATAACTGATAGATGATTCAATCAATATTTCGGACATATGATACAAAGTACCCTAGTGTACTCCTTGTCTGAATACTAATAATGGTTCATGTACTCCTACCATACTGTTACATGTTCGCTGTGTGTGGTTCATGTAACACATACCACTGTATTTACTTCCAACTTGTTTCTCGTGTGCGTGTGGCTGTCTGGTCCACCACATGCTAAAATCTAAGACGCTATAACAATGATTTTTTTTATATGCTCTAGGTCCAACATGATAGTGCAGGGTTGGCCGTATAATAGTACAATATCTGAAACACTCGGGAAACTGACATATAAAACAATATCATCATAACTGTTCAAGGCTGGTGTAGACCCCTGCGACCATCTCTCTCTGGGCTGATCTGAGTTTGTGTGATCAGAGAAGTAACATAATATCTTCGGCACATTGCCTAGGTCACCGCTCCTGTACCCTGAAGAATAACTAAAGGACATCTGATGTTACTGGTGGTATATACAGTATGTAGTAAATCATTTCAATGGTTATCTTAATAGTTGTGCTAAAAGTTTCCGCCACCGTTTATTATTATTATTATTATTATTATTATTATTATTATTATCATAAAACCAATAGTAATAATATTAATTAGTGTTAGAGGAAAAACATAAACATCGAATTTTAAGAATCCGAGTTCAAGTTCCGGATCTCTTGTTTTGTTTTGGTTCGCGCAGCAACAAGTGAAAAATTGGAACCCTGTGAACTGTTCTCTAAGATTAGAGGAGATGTGCCATCATGGCAGTCCTCTTTGTGTGGACTTGGCAAAAGAAAGAAGAGAAAACATGACGTGTGGAGAGAATTCCGTGGCAGCCATAAGAAAGGAATTGCCTGGATTATTTTAAGGAGGTGGAGGATTGTGTGAGCCGCCGAGCGAGTGTTGGACCCAGGTAAGGCGGTTCTTACTTTTGTACTCAGATCAGGTAATTTTTTGTATTCGTTTTTAGACAATACTGCGTGAAACTTATATAACTTTGTAGTGCTAAAATGGATCTTATGATGATTAGGCACCCCCACTTATTTCACATGATGATTAATCGCCCTTATGCTAACCTAATCTAACCTAACCAAACCTAACCTAATATAAGCTAACCTAATAATGGATATTAACTAGACTGCAATCGAGCTAGCTACCAACTCATGCTTGGTTACACCTTCAATATTTTGACCTTTTAGGTGTAAAGACATTGCACCTCTAAGCGTGGTGACAGTGGATGTACAGCACACAGAGACGTGACCGCCCAAGCGGCTAACGAGCCGATCAGTGGTGAAGAGGTTAAAAGAAAAATAGAAAAGAAAAAAGACAAGTACCATCAGAGTACCTCAAGTTCTCTTGTGCTGCCCCACACCACAGTGAGGCACAACACTCCTCCCTCTGAATTATGTCATTGTTTATTTTATCCTCTTCGCCTCTTGTTAACTTATATCAGACGGTAATGATAATTTAGTGGTAGCGTAAAGGTAAGAATTACAATAATTAATAGATAAACAATAACAAGTTGAAAGCTTCTACGCCAGAAGTTATGATGAAAATATTTAAAAGGGCACGAAAAGAGATTGTCACAACGCGTCGAAAAATATATATGTAAAAAGTGTTGCCAGATATTTTTTGTTTTTGTATCACTCACTGGTACTGTAGTTACCGCCACCCTCCCCTCTACCTGGAAGATTACCGCACTGGGCTGACAGTGTTAGTTCCGTCTAGTAACCTCTATATGTACACGATATGATTTTTTTTTCAGTTTTTTATTCTACTGAATTTTACTTT